GCGCTCCTCCGCGACCGCCACAACGCTCGGCCGCGCATCGTGCCTGACCGCTCCGGAGGAGGCTCGGCTATTTGCTGTGTGTGAAGTCCGATCACTTCCCTATTGCATCCCTTCCGCAACTGTACTGGCTCAGGCATTGGCAAGCTAACCTTGAGGCGCTGCTTGCTGCGCAGTGCCTAGCAAAAGGGAAGCCTTTACCTACAGATCCTATACAGGAGCGGCCCCTCGGCCGTCTCCCTGTATCCATAATTACGGCGCGTTCCTGGGCCAGTGGCGCGCGTGGCTCTGCCAGCTGGGGCGTCGGCGCCGACGGCTGCCCGTGCGCGGAACTTATGTACAATGCTGAGCGCGTGCGTGCTTTGTGGGCTCCCTAAATGAAGACTGTGGCAAGGTCAAGGTTGGGCGGGTAGCACGCCCCACGGCGCCCAGAGATCGCGAGGCTGTTTCGCAAGGCCGTGCAGCTCGGGCAGCGAGGAGCAGTTGGCCACCTACGACGGCCCGGCTCGACGGCGAGGAGCAGGACACCTACAAGGGGGTTCGCGCCGCCAATCGACGAAAACTCCACACCTGCCCTTCCCCCACTTCGGCATCTCGCCATCACCCACGCTGGCGGGCTCCACCTGGCCCAGCGACCGAAGACCACGGGGTGAAAACCTACAGGGAGCAGGCGACGGCGCGTTTGGAGGCCCCCAACACCACCCTGGACCGCATGGACGCCCAGGAACTCTGCGGGGATGCGCTGCAGGAGTTCGCGATCACGCTGACCATGCTGTTCACCGCCCGCGGCCTGAAGACCCAGCTGGACAAGCAGGAGGGGGCGTTCGAGCGAGCGACCAACTGTCAGATGAAGGCTGCCCATGCCCTCGACACCCTTCGCAATCAAGTCAAGAAAATCAAAAAAACGACGCCAAACGAGATGTCGAGCAGATGTGAGAAGACCATCAGCGAGCTTCTGATGCTCATCAAAGCTGAGGAGGAGCCGGTAGCGGCAGCGGCGATCAAAGTTGCGGCCCGCCCCGACGATCCCGTGCAAGGGATGTCCGCCAGCGCTGGTGCTGGGGCGATTCCAGGTGCCCGTGCTGGGGCGCCTTCAGGGGCAGGCGCAGGTGCCGGCCTGTTCCCTGATGCCACTGCCCCGCCCATGACGGCCGTCGGCGCGCTCGCCACGCGCTGGTCCCAGATCTTGGAGATGATGCAGCAATTGGGGGGGCGTCGGCCAACGCCCAGGCCATGTCGGCCTGCGTGCGCGGCCCTGCCTGCGCCAGCAGCGAACGGGCCAACGATCGCCTCCTGTTCTGACCGAGCGCGTTCCAGTACTCGCGAAGTGCCTGCTCGCAAATGTCGGAGGAAGAATGTGTCTTCCCCGATGTAGTGCACCGCAAATCTCCCGCGGCGGATCCAGGCAATGTGCGAGGAGTACCTTCGCGAGCAGTGGAACGCGTTTGTCCTTGTCCCACCCGAGGGAATGCATGTTCCGCCAGCAGGGGGCCCCCCCTCCCAGCGCCTCCGCCTCTGCTGCCCCGGGGCCCCACGCTTTGTTCGCGCGCCCCCGCTGGGCTGGGCCCGCCTCGAGCCGCCGAGGCGCAGGCGCAGCCCGCGGCAGGCCGCCCCCGCGGGGGGGCGCGCGGGGGGGCGCGCTCGAGGGAGCTCGCAGCTCGCAGCCCCCCCCCGCCCCGTCGGGGGAGGAGGGCGCGGGGGCGGCGAGCCGGAGGTCGAGCGCGCCGCGCCCGATCGGCGAGCGGAGCAGCGGCGCGCCGCCTGCCGGGCCCGCGACGTGCTGCAGCGCGACGCAGCAGGGGGGCGTCGTCCGCCCTCGTCGCCCAGCAGCGCATCGCGGCCGAGCGCGACGGCGCCTGCCCATCCGTGATGCGCCCGTGAGTTGGGCTTCCGTTTTCTCAGAGTTGTCATGGGGTAGTTGGTTATTTCGCGCTGCGCCGTGGCCCCCTCGCGCCCGCAGGTTCAGCGCCGAGCCCCCTGCGCCCGATCTGCGCGAAGCCACCTCCGAGGCTTGCCGCGCGCCCCCGCCCCCCCCCCTCTCCTTCGCGGTGTCTTATATGCGCTGGCGGGGCCAGGGGCGCGAGGATGGCGGAGATTCCAGTTGCCCCTGCATCGGCAGACGGCGCTACCAATGAACAGTTTCCATGTCGCGCGCGCATTCCAAGAGCGCGTCGCAGAAATTGCGACTGGGGAAGTTCTTTCCCTCTTCCCTGCTGTCGCCTGCTTCTCGCGGACTCGTAGGCCCTGGCCGGTGTTGCCCGGGCTGGTTGGCCCAACGATGTGCCCATCTGTCAACGCCCGCGTCGGGGGGTGATGATTGGCCAGCGTCAGTTCGACATTTCGAACTCAGGCTGGGCGCCCCCGCGCGCAATGATGCGGCGTCTTGCATCTGGGCGCAGCATCGGTGGCAAGCGCGCCCACAGTCGTAGAGGGAAGGATGCAGCGAGTTGGCTGGCACCTCGGCGCGTCTGACATGCATGCGCCTGCCGCCCTTCATGGAGCCCATGTCCCTCGACTCGCTTCTCTTCGTTCCTAGTGCTCCGGCGCTGGCCTGGCCCCGCGCCGACAAGTCCGCGGATTTTTGGTTGCCCGCGCTGGGAGATGCCCCGAAGGTTTTGGAGGTGTCCTCGGAGCGCCTTCAGGCCCAGGATTGTTTTGAGTGGGCCCCGCGAAAGTCCCGGTGGGCCTTCGAAGCTCAACTCCGTCGTGCTCGAGGCGGCGGTTGCCAGCACTTTCGCACGGCAGGGAAAGAGGACAAGCCAGGCCAGGATGCGATGCAAGCCCAGGATGCTCCGCATTGTTGGTCTTAACGCTCCTGGTACGATCGCGCTGCCTTTCCAAACGGCGCCCCGAGCCTGGATATCAGATCCGAATCGGGGTTGTGGAAACACGCAGGCAGTCTGCCATGCAGACTGGGGCGGGGGTTTTCCAGTTGTTCTATTCTAAGTGCGCTTCGAATGGCTTCGAAGGGTTTCCCATCGCTTCCCGCCGAATACTTGGTACTCTACCCGGCAAGCAGCGCGTTTCCCATTCGCGCGCCGACCGATCCGAGTCGGTTTTTCTTTCTTTTGTCCCATGCGAAAGTCTCAAGCATATCCCTTTACCGTGCTCCCTTTTTCACGGTGGTTCATGGATGTCGCCATATGTTGTGTGTCAAGTTTTGTTCAGTTAACTGTTGCGCCATTTAGGTTTGGCGCAAGAAAAATTAAATGCTCGAGTATTTTCGCGATCGGAGGTTAGGGGGTGAGATCGCAGCGGGACGGAGACCCCCAACCAGGAACTCGTTTCGTTTCGTTCGCGTCGTGCGTGCGGGCGAGGCGAAGTTGCGCGGGCGCGCGAGAGGAATGAGCCCGCCGTTGCTAGGGCGAAGTCAAGACGAACGATTCTCCTCCGCCCGCCCGTCCGGCGGTGGCTCGCGGTGTCCCGCGGTGGCCCGTCCCGCGGTGTCTCGTGGTGTCCGCCGCTGCTAGGGCGAAATCAAGACAAATGAGTCTCCTCCGCCCGCCCGTCCGGCGGTGGCTCGCGGTGTCCCGCGGTGTCCCGTGATGCCCCGTGGTGTCCCGTGTTGTCCGCCGCTGCTATGGCGAAGTCAAAACAAATGATTCTCCCCCGCCCGCCCGTCCGTCCGTCTGTCCGGCGGTGGCTCGCGGTGTCTCGCGGTGACCCGTGGTGTCCCGTGGTGGCCTTTGGTGCCCCGTGATGTCCCGCTGAGTGAGAGCGATAGTGAGATCGATGGTGAGATCGATAGTGAGATCGACACTGAGATCGATGTGGTGACCCGAGGTGTCCCCTGGTGTCCCGTGGTGTCCCAAAAAGTGAGATCGATACCGAGATCGATAATGAGATCGACAGGTATCCCGTGGTGTCCGGTGGTGTCCCGTTGAGTGAGATCGACAGTGAGATCGATAGCGAAATCGATATTGAGATCGATGTGGTGCCCCGAGGTGTCCCGTGGTGTCCCAAAATGTGAGATCGATAGTGAGATCGATAGTGAGATCGGCAGGTGTCCCGTGGTGTCCCGTGGTGTCCCGTTGAGTAATATTGATAGTGAGATCGATG